TTTGTTTTTGGAATAACACTTTTGAAGTACTACTGATGAAGTTATTCAGGCTAATAGGTTTGTTGTTTCAGGTTTGGATGATGGATGATAGACACAAGTGATAAATGTATTCATTTTTCTAGGGGTAAAATGTAGACAAACACATTGTTTGTGCTCCTTTTATTTTGTGTGAATTTCAAAGTTAATTCTCACTTAGATGTATACAAATGGTGGTGATGGGGTTACTGGTTCTTACCTATGAAGTATGCTCATGAAGCTATGGTTGCAATAAATTTATGGGAAGAGTTGGGCACGTGTAATTTTGAAGATTGTTGCCTTATGTTAAAAAGAATGCCTATGCTTTTATGTTCTCTGTGATTTTAGACATTTATTACAGCAAACAAACAAGGAACTAAAAGTCAAGTTCTGACCGAATGACAACACCATTACTGGTGCAAAATATTAGTATTACTTGGCCTAAAATATTGGGCCCGTGCTTAGCACGGGCGACACTCATCTAGTAATTATTAATATAGGTTATCATGGTCGTCCTCTAAGAAGAAGTAGTAGTTATATTTGCCCTTATATTATTGAAAAAAGGATAACAATAACATTGTTCTCGGTGGAACTGCCGGTCCATATATTACTATAATAGTCGTTTAATAGTTGGTTAGGAGGTAAGTTATTCATGTATAAAATTCTACATGAACAAGATTCATTTACTATGTACATATAAAATTAATACGATGTGGTTTGTAATTTAGAAATCTACTAATTAATATATGTATTACGATTACTTATGAGGAAATTTATGTATTAATTTATGCAAGATAGAAACTTGAATAAGTAATACATGAATAATTAAATCCTGCATAATTAGATAATACATAAAAAATTTGTAACTAATATCTACAATCAGCTACCATATGATGAAAGTGTTGATGGCTTTGGATAGTTAAGGAAAAAAAAGAGTTGATATGGTGAGTTAGCATGTTATTTTAACTAAATTGAATGAGTTAATGAAAAAAAAATCAAAGTTTCAAAAGTATTTGTGATTTTTCTTTTTGTTATGAAAAAAAAGAAATAAAACTCTCTCTACTTGATTTTTTTTTTAAAATTAACATAACTCTTTACTTTCTGAAATAAATACTCCTTTTTATTAAAATAAATAATATTTTGGCTTTCCAAAACCTTCACCAAACATACCACTAAATTAGCTTACATAGTTGATTGAATCTTCAGTTGTACACTTTTTCAATGGTGCAGCCAAACATTTTTTCTTTTGGTCTTCCTAACAAAGACAGTCATATTCACAGGAATTTGAACCCGAAACCTTTTATTAAAGAATAAAAATATATTTATTACTCTATTGTAATTTTTGCTAGTCAAGCCAAAAGATTCATGTATTATTAAAATATGTAATGGTCAGTCCACTAATCCCCTGGGTATCAAACATTTTCTGTGAAGATGTCAGATTTTATATTATTTAAATATGTTGTGATTAATTCACTAATTTATTTAGTCCTTAGTTGGCTGTTTGCCAAGTATGATACTATTATTTAACAGGTTCAGCTTTCCAGTTGTCTTTTAAGAGAACAAAACCTTTTATATGGCTATAAATAACGAAAAATTAAAACGAAACGAACTAATTCGGTTCTTTAATTCGAATATGATTTTTTTTCTTAAAAGTTCGATTCTTCGATTTAATTGTACCAAAATTTTAGTGCACCTAAAATTCAAACTTTTATTACATTTCATAGCAGGCCTCTGTCACCGACAGCAAACAGGCCCAAAATATATTTTTATCCAACCCAAGCCCAGGCGATGTCTATTGGGCTGCTACTGGTTATTGTTCAAAGTTGAAGGAATATATCACATATAACGAAAAATCACCCCATATATATTTAAGGGTCAATATTACGGATTTTAAATCTACTTTTAAAATATTATTGTTTATAACATTTTTAATTGCGGGTTATAACAGATCACTTTTTATTTATAAATCAATTTAATTTCACTTTATTAAATAGTTAGTCTTCTATAATTATATTTTATTATTAAGTGATATAAATAAAGAATCAATATAATTATCTCTTACACATTTTTAGGGATTTTACCTTGATTCTTGTTCTCTTTTTATTTCTTTTTTTACTGTCTTCTATAATTATCTTTTTATTATTAAGTGATATAAATAAAGAATCAATCATAATTATCTCTTGCACATTTTTAGGAATTTTACTTTGATTCTAGTTCTTTTTTTACTGTCACACCTCAAACCCCACCCCATCTCCGTCACCACGTCTTATCTAGTCTTCGCACACGCCATAACAACATCCCACCACCCCCACGTTAAAAAAATTTATTTTCTCTTTCACCTCTTCTTTCATCTCTTGTAAAAACCGTTTCTACATCTCAATATCACCAGAAAATCTTCATTCTACAATCAAAAGAAAGGCCAAATTCACAATAATAAGAATCAAGTTTTTAGGATTTTTTATAAAACATGTCGAAGAAACCTGAGTATACTCCTAGAAAGATCCCCAGATTAGTAAACGCGAGTTCTACTGTTGAAATTGAGGCTCCGACCTTTAACATATTGACTCAAACACTGTTGCCAAACAAGAATGCAAGTCCGGCGATAAAGGTTATTACCACTCAAAAGAAGAAACAGATTCCGGAAAAGGAGAAGAAAAGTGAAGCAAAGAACATGTTACGGATGCTGGCAATTATCCTACACCAAAATCACGGAAATCAAATTTGAAATAGTTGATTGCACCTTAGACTCTTAATGGTTATATGTTTTTTAAATTTTTGGATGATATATAGTTGTTTTTGCTACAGTTTTTTTATAACAATACAATATGCACTGTTTTACATTGCCAAATTTATTCTTTTAGTAATGTGTTCCAGTTAGATACCAACTTTATTCATCTTTATTTTAAATTTGTCAAAAATTTCAAGTTGGATACCAAGTGTATACAATTTGAATATCAGCATTGGCTAGACTTTTATTGGACTTTAGTATTAAAAACGCTTCATAAACATAGTACACCACAATTGTATACATTGTTACAATTAACTAGTTCTGTTAAAATATGAATTACAAATTGTTTTGTATAATATCGGGGTACCAGCTCTATACAAATTGGATACAACATTAACTAGTTTTAGTTTGGATATCAGTTTGAACCAAATGAACACCAAATAAAATCACATGAACTAGTTTTATGTTGTCTTACATTGTATCTCATTGATCTCCAAATTGAAAAATTAAGAGTGACATTAAATTGGTATTCAATTTGCAAATAATTGGTATCCATTTTGTAATATAATTGGTATTTTTAACTTGAAAATTTAAGACAAAAAATTTAAAACCAAAGAGTAAAAAAAATTGAGAGTAGGAGAAGGGGGAAATGGGGAGGGGATTACTGTGGGGATTCGAACCCTCATCAACAAGGTAGAATTCAGGAACCAACCAACTGAGTTACAAAGATTCTCTAAAAGAGTAAAAAAAAATACACACGCATGGACATACTAACAAAAGATATCGCTAGGGGTATTTATGACCCAATAGAATAAGAAAGGGCGAATACGAGATAAATTAGAAATGTTAAAAGTATTAGTTTATCCTTTTCCACTATAATATATAGTGTTACTAATAAGACTTAAGAGTAGGACTGACATAAAATACCAAAAATCGAATTACCGAATCAAATTAAATTTTTTGGTAATTTGGTTTTTGATAAAGTATTTAGGAGTAAACTTTTAGAATAATGGTATTTTGAGTTTGGTATGAGACATTAGAATCATATGATATTCTGTATTTCTCGAATACCGATTTATTCACTTAATGAAGGTTATATATCAACATGTTCATAACTCATTAGTACAAGTTCAAACAGAAAGTTAAATACTAAACATAAACAATCCAAATACATATATTTTTTTAGTTATGTCAATTTAATTTTTTTGATGTCTTCTAACTTGTTTTCTATTATATAATATTGTGCATCCACATAGAAAAATAGAAATAATTGTAGTAATAATATTAAATTTGTAATACAATCGGATATAAATTCAATACGGTATTACCGAATACCATACCGAACCAAAGTTTAATTTATCGATTACCGAATTACTGAATCGAAATTTAAAAACTTGAAATTTAACACCTACTTTTAACTACCAATTACCAAATTATCGAATTCAAAATTTAGAAATCCCGAACCGAATACCCAACACCCATCACTACAAAGAGACGTCATAATTGAATGAAACAAAGAAACAATAAAAAAATTCTCAACTAGCTTGGCGTTGGTTGCCCTGTGCCAAACCCGTTGACTTTCAATTTTTATCCATAGTTGACTTTTCAATCTCACTCTTATTAAATGAGAAAAAAAATAAAAAAGCTTCAACAAATGCCAATTGCGTTTTCATAATAGATAGAAATTTTGTAATAAATGTCATCCCCTTAGTGAAAATGGATCAATTGGACTCCTCATTATTTAAATGAGAAAAAAATTTAATCATGCAAGAATTTATGGTGCATTATATTAGCTTTTTTATAAGTAAAAGTTTTATTAAAAATAATTAAAATCAATTTATAAAGTACAATAAAATCAATTGTAGCTAATTGATTGATTATCCGAGCTCTCATCTTATTGGTGAAAATTTGATTTGCCATATAATTCTCTCTTCATTTCCCTTTTTTTCTTATTTCAATCTTCTTTTTAAAGAGAAAAATAAAGAGAGAAGTACTGAAAATACCCTACCCTAAACTTGACGTGAATCATTATTTTCATTTCTCAAACTATTAACAGTTTTAAAAGTACTTGACTAACTGAACTTAAATATAACCCCAATCCGAATTAGATATCTTAATGTTTTCAAACCCCCAAACCTAAACAGGGCATCCGTGCGAATGACGCTCCAAATTTTGGCGTCAGGGTTGAGTCTGCTCCGTTCGCATGCGCAGCGTAAACACCCAATACACACCACCTGCCATTGACCCAACGGTACCCACCTCCCACCCCAACTCTTTTTTACTTTTTGCCCTTTCGACGCCTTCATTTGCCTTATACGTTTCTCCTTCTTCTCTTCTATCACTGATCCTTATACGCTTACATACTTGTTCGTTTGGTGTAATTGAGTCTTCTTCCAATTACAATCTCCGCAGACGAATTGTATGATTGTTATTTTGGCAGTACTTAATCACGCTGTTTCATATTGATCTGAATTGAATTTGTTGTTTTGTCAAATAGTTAGGTTTTGGATTGTTTTTCTCTTCTTCTACTCGCTACTCAATTCATTGGAACGAAGAGAATGCAGCAGGAATCTACGTCTGAACAGGAACCGGACGATTCTGAATCTGAACCGGAGTTCGTTGAGCTCGATCCTTCTGGTCGATACGGCCGGGTCAGTTTCTCGCTTACTCGCTTCTGCATTGAATACTTTTTTTTGGCTTGTTGTACCTCTTAAGTAGTGTTTGAAGTACATTTTTGAAACTGCATACTGACTTTATTCTGCTCATTTTTATATGATCTGACTGAAATGCATAAGGTGAAATTTGTTGAAGTAACGATTGAAAAGTTAGTTTGAGTAGGGAAAAGTTCATCATATCAAATTAAAAATTTAATGAATCAGAAAGCTTGAACTGTTTGGATGGTTGTTAGGTATTGTTTCACAATGTATTGTATTGTTTAATGAATACAACGTTTGGATAGATTATGTCATTTTTCGTCGTTACATAATGTCACACACCAACAATTTAAAGGATGAATTTATAAAAGAAGTAGGGTACGGGATAGAGTTGCTATAAAAAGGTTGGGTAAAAGATAAAATAAGTATATTTAATTATAAGTAAAGACAAAATGAGAAAAAAAAAGTTAACGACTTGATCACACCAAATGTTGTTACACAAAATGGGACTTTTCGTCATTACCTAACAATAAGTTTAACGATACGATGCAATAAAATGTAAGTAACGATTAAAACAAACATTGTATTTAAACTAACAGCACAATACAATAGATTGCAACCACCCAAACAAGTTGAATAGTGTAAAAGATTTTGGAAATCTCAAAATGGAAAGAAAATCATATAAATTGGAACTATGGGGGTAATATTTCTTTCTGTATTTTACTTGTCCCGGGGTTCTATTCTTTCTGACTGCTTTGCTATTACTGTTGTTACATTTCTGGCTAATATTTGTTAGGTTGGTGTATATTTAATTAGTCATTACATATATTTGATTCTTCATTGCAACTAAGGAGTTGATTGTCTTGTTATATGCAGTACAAAGAGGTTTTGGGAAAAGGAGCTTTCAAGAAAGTGTATCCTATTTTGAATGTCTTCACGTGCATAATGCTCGTTTCATTTCATTGATGTGTTTGACAGGAGAAGGAATATAAGATGTTAATTTGAATGGTACTCTCTTTGTTCCAATTTATGTGCCGGTCGTGCATGGGTTTTGAGGAAAAAAAAACTTTTGGAACTTTTGGTCTTAAACATGTCGTTAGTTTAATGTGGGTTATAAAAAGAGAGGAATGAGAAGTTCACGTTAAATTGCTTCCAAGTATGAGAATATGTGCCATTTTTTCTGGAACACACTGTTAAGGAATTAGTGTCACATAAATGAAACAGAGGGAGTATATTATATTAGTAGTAAGGGAAGAAAATATTATAGTGATAGTTAAAAAGTTAGATTGATTAAGAGAACATTACATAAAGGTATTCAATTTGAATATTTTTATGACTTTTATTTCTTAATATTTGTGAAAGTTGTATGATTGTCATATAACCTGAGATGAACTATTGTGTTACTGCCTTTTCCCCTCATTAATGAATGTTGTCAAGTGAAACTACTGTCCATTCTTGACTTACCATCGGTAATATAGTTACCGAGCATTTGATGAATTGGAGGGGATTGAAGTAGCTTGGAACCAGGTTAAATTGGCTGATCTCTTGAGGAATGCTGTGGACTTGGAGCGTCTTTATTCCGAAGTTCATTTACTTAAAACCCTCAAGCACAAGAATATAATCAAATTCTATAACTCGTGGGTTGACCCAAAGAATGAGAATATCAACATCATTACTGAAATTTTCACTTCTGGGACTTTAAGACAGTATGGCTATGTGTTTTCTTCTTTTTTTTTTTTTTTTTTTTTTTTTTTTTGGAATGCTGTGGACTTGGAGCGTCTTTATTCCGAAGTTCATTTACTTAAAACCCTCAAGCACAAGAATATAATCAAATTCTATAACTCGTGGGTTGACCCAAAGAATGAGAATATCAACATCATTACTGAAATTTTCACTTCTGGGACTTTAAGACAGTATGGCTAAGTGTTTTTTTCTTTTTTTTTTTTTTTTTTTTTTTTGTTTTGCTTTTCTTTGCTCAATGCTTTAACCCCACTACCCATATTTTTGAAATATTGGATTATGGACTACTCTTTCTGTATGCTCGTGAAGGTACCGCAAAAAACATAAGAGGGTTGATATCAGAGCACTTAAGAATTGGTCTAGGCAGATATTAGAGGGTCTCTCATATCTACATGGTCATGACCCTCCAATTATTCATCGGGACCTCAAGTGTGATAACATTTTTATCAATGGTAACCAAGGGGAGGTTAAGATTGGTGACTTGGGACTCGCTGCAATTCTTTGCAAGGCTCGTGCTGCTCATAGTGTCATTGGTAAGGTCCTACTCAGATTTTCTCAGTTTTGCAACTGTCCTCAAGGTTGTAATTGGCTGTTCATTGGCAGTTTGGATGGTTCTGAAAAGTGCAATTCTATAATTGATCTCAGGTACACCAGAATTCATGGCGCCAGAACTTTATGAAGAGGAATACGATGAGCTAGTAGATATCTATGCCTTTGGCATGTGTCTGCTGGAGCTAGTGACATTTGAATATCCTTATATTGAGTGTTCCAACGCTGCTCAAATATATAAGAAAGTGACAGCAGTAAGAATTTATGTCTTTCTTCACAGTCTCTCTTTATTTTTTGTTGTCCCTCAAGCTATGTATCAAGTTATTGTATGTTCACGATTGTTGATAGAGTCATAGAGATATCATTTCTTGGGATCAAGGTTGTGCGGCAGCAAGAGTGATGGAAAATCTTTTAATTGAGAGTGCAACTCTTGGTTAAAAATTGTAAATATCCTTGCATTGCATAGCTTAGGCTTCAAGCCTTCAACCCTCGAGGAACTATGACATTTATGGTTTTACATGACTGTTCATGTACTAAGATTTAGGTAATTCCATAATTATCCATTGGTATCTTCATGTGCAAAGAGTGTCATACAAATTGGGATCACAAAGAAATATAAAAATTGTAAGCATTTTAGAGAAATAAAAGCCAATATGTTTTAAGTTTATTTCCGTAACTAATAGAAGAATACTGCTCCATTTATATATTCAGTAATAACACTCAAAACACTGATAACTTAAAACGAGAGTTAAATTATGTGACTTTAGTTATTAAGCATCTAGGTTTTAGTTTAAATAATTAGCTCCCTAGTCATTTACTTGAATTTTCCATTTAGGATTCATGTTGTCTAGTTTAAGGCTTGTATGCAGCAAAACGTGGTTATCTTGCTTTGGAGGATGTTCTCTCCTGGGATTGATGACTTATGTCTCTCTCCTTTTCCCTATTGGATGAGGAGGATGGAATCTCAGCCTTCAGTTTGTATTCTCAGGGTGAACCACCCTCATAATAAATTTGTTAAAATAACAACTATAGGCGATGCTGCATTTGCATTTAGACATTTTAATGCACTTAAGCTGGTTATCAGAACAAATACAAAAAAGTCAGGTTTCTGTACTTGGGGTTTTATGTTAGTATCAAGTTCATCGGCCTGCTTAAAGTGACAAAACTTCAAGGTTAAGGCATTTCTTAGGGACCAACTGTGCTGTAGTTCGAAGCTGTTTCTAAGGTTGAAAACTGTATGAAGCATTTTCCTCTTTATTTCACCAACCTCTTTTTGTAAGGAGAGTGTTAAATTAGTACTAGAAAGGTACCTGATAAGTTTTCAAAAGAGAAGGCCTTGGATAGAAGCTACACAAAGAGAGAATATATTTTTTATTTTATTTTTTAAAATGGTAATGTTGTATTCTTCAGCATTAAGGATATGCTGGTGACCTGCAAACAGAGGGGAACAAAAGAAGAGAAGAAAAAAAAAATACAAGGATCCTAATAATTCTACAATCTGTTCTGTTTCCTCTAAACCTTTCTCTTTACACCAAAAATAAAAGGATACAATACAATCCCATCTAACCTTCTGAATGGAATTGGACCTATCTTCAAAGTTTCTTCTATTTCTTTCTTTCCGTACTGTCTACCAAATGCAATGTGGAATTTTCCTCCACCATGCCTTTTGGCTCTTGCTCCCCCCTCTTCTTATCCAACAACTCAACAAGTCTGTTGTATGCTCGGGCATGCACAAAGAGAGAACCTATTAAGTCCATAAAATCATAAATTCTGATCAAGCATCTCCTCTGAGGCAACAAAACAAATTCTGAAGACATCTAAACTTGAAAATAGCAATCAACTCCTTGCTTCCATCAAAGCATCTCCTCTTCCTCTCAAGCCATATTGTCCAGCTAATTCATAATGGAATTATTTTCCATGTCTTCTTCAGCTTTCTCTTTCTCTTCATTCTCTAACCTTGCCAGCACACAAGTAAATCCTTAATGCTTTGTGGTATCACCCATTGAACACCAAAAATATTCAGAAAAAGGACCATATCAACTGTGTCGTTGCAATGAATCAGCAGATGATTTTACTGTTTCAGTAGCATTTTTACAGAGGAAACATCTGTTACACAAGCTAAAGACTCTTTTTTGTAGGTTGTCCTGAGTCAAACAGGCACCATAAGGCATAAGCAGTAATCCACTAAAAACAAGCAACTTTGGTTGGGGCATTTATTTTCTGCAATGACTTCCATGGACAAAAATGCACAGATTTTAACAGCACATTATAGCAAGAGTTCACAGTAAAGCACTAAGGTTTCCCCCTTCTGTTATCTTTATTTCACCGACCTAAATTTACTGTTAGAAAAAGGAAAAGGAATACTCCATTTGTACCATACTGATTCTGCTTGTTTCTTTTTTTGTGAGAAAAAAGTAAAGCTATTTAGTTAACAAAGCACCCTGGAGGTGCATAGTTACAAAAGCTATTTACCATAAAAGGCTGTATTTCCTTAACTAGATAGGGAACCGCTGAAGTTTATCAACTGGCATGTATACTCTAAAACTTCAAGTTTGGAAACAAATAAAAGAAATAAGCAATTAATTTTCAGCTGCTGCAGGGAGCTTTTTTCTAATTCAAATCATCTTTTGTTTCTTTCATTCCATAACACCCAAAATATAGTTAAAGGAATCGAGTTCCATATCTTTCTGGTAGTTTTCTGTGCCTTCCAATCCCCCCAGATGCAAAACACTTGTATAATATCCCCTGGAAACACCCTTTTAATGTTGCTTTTATGTAAAAATAAACTCCATCCAGGCTGCTGAACAGTGCATGAAAGAGTGGTTTACCGACTCCAAATCCTTTTCACACACAGGTAAATTCTGTTAGAGATACAATAGGTTATCTTGCGTGAGGCAAGCTCCATCAATGCTATCCAGTTAAAACAGTGCCCCTGGAGGGATATTAGTTTTCCATTGCCTGAAATCTAATTTTCACAGACTGATCCCGCTTGTTTCTATTTTGCATTGTCAAAGATAAACCTACTTTGCTCGGAGTTTTCTGTATTCGTTTTTCTTGAGTGTTTGAGCATAAAATAGATATTGCAAGGGTAAGGCCCATTCAGGAGTTCTTAAGACCGAATTCTGTGTCCTCTCTCTCTATCCCTGAATATAAAAGTAAGTTTAGTCCCAATACCTTTTCTTTTATCAAGAAGGGTGTCCGGCCTCACTTCAATAGATGTTCAATTTGCTAAGGAAGTGAACAATAACATGCTATTCCAAGAAACAAATATTAGTAGTCCTAAGAAATCAACATTGTTTACGACTTCTGTTGAATGAATGTCCTTGACTTGGTGGAATCAGTAGCTCAAGATGGTTTTACCATAGGAATGAGATGTTGTTGACCAGTTTAAAAACAGTTTGACCATTCATGAATCAAGTGCTGATTGTAGGGACTTAGGCTTTATTTTCTTAGTCTTGTATCCACATAGTTCCACTCCTACCTGCTGTTTGTGATGGAAAATATCCTTTGGTGTTTGGTCCTAAACTTTTTTATCCAAGTGAGCCTGCTGAATTGTTGGATTCACAGTTCATTTCATATGATGTTGTCAAGCTCTTTATCATAAAACTAAAAAGAGTCCTGTGAACTAATGCATTCCTTGAGTAACTACTTGTGTTATTAATAGCTAATATCATCAACCTGTATGATCTATTGTACATCCAATTGCCTGCAGTTTGTCGTGTTTGTTTTCATTAGTCATTCAATTGTTCTAGCAAACTACCCAAAAAATATTGTCATGACCTGCTTGCATAAGACGTGTTCATTGTGTTATAGGTATTAAGAAACATGATTTCTATCCCTGATGGAATGCATTCCAGTTGACCAATAAAAATTCAAAATATTATGTAAATGCCTAATACTATCTTGGTTTATTTGTCAAGAGTGCTTTGTCAACATTGAGTAAGAATCACTGGAGTTGCCTCTTCCTGGGGACAATTTGCATAGGACTTCCAATCATCAGTTTACCTCCATGTACCATCCTCACCTTGGGGAGTTTGTGTCTGTGAAGCTCTCTTCTTTTTTTCTTTTCTTTTTTGCATTGCTTCAGTTAGCCGCATCAACCACTTCATTTAGACCTTACTCCCACTGAAATAATTTTTTGTACACACATTCTCTCTCTCTCTCTCTCTCTCTCTCTCTCTCTCTCTCTCTCTCTCTCTCTCTCTCTCTCTCTCTCTCTCTCTCTCTCTCTCTCTCTCTCTCTCTCTCTCTCTCTCTCTCTCTCTCTCTCTCTCTCTCTCTCTCTCTCTCTCTCTCTCTCTCTCTCTCTCTCTCTCTCTCTCTCTCTCTCTCTCTCTCTCTCTCTCTCTCTCTCTCTCTCTCTCTCTCTCTCTCTCTCTCTCTCTCTCTCTCTCTCTCTCTCTCTCTCTCTCTCTCTCTCTCTCTCTCTCTCTCTCTCTCTCTCTCTCTCTCTCTCTCTCTCTCTCTCTCTCTCTCTCTCTCTCTCTCTCTCTCTCTCTCTCTCTCTCTCTCTCTCTCTCTCTCTCTCTCTCTCTCTCTCTCTCTCTCTCTCTCTCTCTCTCTCTCTCTCTCTCTCTCTCTCTCTCTCTCTCTCTCTCTCTCTCTCTCTCTCTCTCTCTCTCTCTCTCTCTCTCTCTCTCTCTCTCTCTCTCTCTCTCTCTCTCTCTCTCTCTCTCTCTCTCTCTCTCTCTCTCTCTCTCTCTCTCTCTCTCTCTCTCTCTCTCTCTCTCTCTCTCTCTCTCTCTCTCTCTCTCTCTCTCTCTCTCTCTCCAATAAGTTAATCCCTCTTATTCTCTTATAAGTGCTAATTCAGACTGTAGCTAATCCAGACTTCTGTTTTGAATAATGTGGTATGTATCTTGATGTATTTCTAAGGTGTTATATTTTTAGGTTAGTTTAGTTAAGATGAACAAGATAACTGAGTCCAATCTTCTGTGGACTTGCTCTATTGGGTACATGGTTCCTATTGTTCATTTATCGGAATTATGTGACATTGACAAGAAATATATATGAAATGACTCACAGCTAAAGTGGAAGGAGTAAGGCTGATCAAATGGGGGCTTAATTGTTTTGGCGTGCACTTAACTTAAACCATGCTAATGATGTGGTCAAGCGAACCACTGCGAAGAAGCCTAGCATCTCTTTAGGTTTTAGCAGAATTGACAACTTAAACTGAAGGATACTTTTTCTTGATCAGTTGTTCCAACGACGTAATGGAGATCTTAATCTAGATCCACTGGCTTGCATGATATTGAAGGTGTTTAAAATGAGTTTCACCAACACACACTATTTTAAGAGGTAATAAGAGTAGTGGTTGTTTGGCTGAAGAAATAACAATGGAAATGCGCAAGTAGGATCATGAGGGGATAGTGTAGGTGGTAGTTGGTACTATGACAGGAAAATGAGTTCTTTTACTGTTGAAGGTGCTAAATAACTTCAACACTTAAGGCAGTATTGTAAGGAGTAATTGTCTTGTTGACGGATTAATGTGAAAGTTATAAAGGTGGTAGTGAAAAGAGGGAAGAAAAGGTTGTGTTCAGATTTAGAGGGTACTAGTGCTGGAGATTTACCAGAAAAGGTAAGCATACCAAATTGGCTAGGTTTTGGTAATGTACAGCTGTCTTCTCTTTCAGGGGAACATGGGGTACTCAAAGTAATTAGCACTTAGCACATTAGTTGCATCCATTCCAAATGTGTTGTTTTTGCGTCATGATATGTTGTCCACTTGCTTTGAACGGGAAATATCTTCCCTTCACTACTTGCTGCATTTTGAGGACTCTATTATATCAAGTAATAAGAGACCAACTTAGATCCTTGTCAAATCTCAAACTTATCATCAGCAAACATTTATCTCTACTTGTGGGGCTTACTTTTTAGTTGAAATACTCTTTAATTTCAACTCTTCTACTAACATTGTGCCAGGTCGAGATGACACTATTTAGTTGGATTGAAGGAGTGCTTTATTTTACAACATTAGATTCTTACTCAAACAAATCCACGAGTCCTATACAATCTGTTTTCAGTTTTTGATAGCTATAAATTACAAACTTTAACTTTCTGCAACTTTGTTTTCCTTTTAGCAGATTAACTAATGAGATAGTTGACTCTGTATTTCTTGGTATTTTAATTTCATCTTACAACAACAATACTACATTGCTAATATTCTGATTTTACCAATTTCATCTGTGAAGGGAATTAAGCCTGCCTCATTGGCAAAAGTGAAGGATCCAAGAGTTAAAGCCTTCATAGAAAAATGTATTGCAAAAGCTTCTGAGCGGTTGCCTGCTAAGAAACTATTGGTTGACCCCTTTCTCCTTTCTGATGAGGATTCTGGAAACATAGGTCGATCTTTGAGCTTCAATTCGGGACATGCAGGTAACTATTTGATCACACCTTTTCTAAAATGTCCCTTTATTATTGACTTTTGTGGGATCTTTACAGATATGAGTGATGATCAGTCTGATAGTGGAAGGAGTACAAAGGACCCTTTGCCTGAAGGAGGCAGAGATTTCACAGTGCAGGGCCAAAGGAAGGACCTAAATACAATATTTCTTAAACTTCGAATTACTGATTCAACAGGTTACTGTTTGCTCCTTGTTTCTTTTGTCAAGCTTAAGATGCATCTATTAATTAGTTGTATAACATTTGCACTGTGGTATCAGGTCATATTAGAAACATTCACTTCCCCTTTGATATTGAAGTTGATACGGCGAATGCTGTTGCTAGTGAAATGGTTGCAGAGCTGGACCTGACAGATCAGGATGTTTCAGCAATAGCAGAAATGATTGATTCAGAAATTCGGTCATATATCCCAGATTGGGCACCAAGAGAAAACTCTAGCACTGTGGTATCAGGTCACATCACCGATGAAGTTGCTTCTGATAACTTTACTTCTGGAGTCGGAGATGATGCTCCTCCCTTTACAATTGATCCTGCTCATTCGGGTAGTCTTGTGTTGGAAAGACTTCCTTCAGGTCGAAAGTACTGGTCTGTTTCACCGAAAACAACCAGTAATGGCAGCTCTCCACGCAGACAGGGGCCTTCAAACACGTCGCTGACCGATTCACCAACTCATGAAGGCAGTTGGACGGAAGAAAATGAAGAATCACCTGTTATCCTGAGAGAGGGAGGGAGTTCACATGTTGCTGCCTTACTCGGACACGAAGATTATAAATCTGAGACTTACGTGGATGATGATGCCAGTGTTCACCGTGATTCTGACTTTGGTGACAATGCTCATTCTGCGGATTTTAGTTATGCAAGCAGGCCTCATTCATCAGAGGAAAGAAATAACATGATCAGCAACAACTACCCAGCTGATATCAGACAAATCACCAAGGAACTGGAGAAGCTGCGTGGACTGCAGCAAAAGGAGCTAAATGATCTCAAGAAGAAACATGACTCGGCTATCTCAGATCTTCTAAGCAAGCTTCCTCCTGAGATCCGTGGCATTTATGGTCACAAAATATCTTCCCATAATTTGCATTGCTGATGTCCTGAAAACTCAAGTTCCTCTGTAAAGACGTAAGTTGCTGTTTTGTCTTTTGCCACTCAACTGTTGAGTAATTCTTTGATTGTACCAATGACCTGACTGTCCCTGAAAAGTCCCAGAGATATCCCGGAATGCTGAAATTATTCGTTGTTGCTGACAATTGTCACATCCAAAATCAAAAAGCTCGAGGGATTAAGCATGGACGTATGTTTAGATACAGATTCAACTCTATCAAGGTTAAAATCAGTTCAGGGTCAGGAATTGAGGTAATACTGAAAGAGGAGACAGGGAAGCGATGCGTTCAAGATTGGTGACTCCATTTGCTTTGTTAGTTATTCGCATTTGCTTGCTTGCACACTTATGTATAATGCGTCTGCAAGTCATCTTGCAGCTTAAAACAGGACCTTCAATTTCATTGAATTGTATACTTGTACATATTTACCTGAGTACTTAGCTATTCGAAATGTCACTTGGTTGAAATTATGCAGGTTGTTTTTTTCTAAATTTTTTTTATCATTGGTGTTCGTTATATCTGTAAAGAAATTCTATTTATTTGAATGATTCTTCAAGTGTCTAACTTATCACTACCAATTAGATATCACAATTTGTGTTATCTCATTTCTATCTTTGTTCTTTTTGTAGATTTGAACATGTAGCATATATTTTCAGTCTTACCTATCTTAAAGCTTGATTCTCTAGAGTGTTTCTATATGGTTCCAACTTCTTGTTCTTTCAATAATTTTCATCAATTAACACAAATATCATTAATTAAGCAGCTTAATAACAAGCACCACAAAACCTTATCCTACAAACTCGATATAGATGTATTTCCTCTTATCATACTTTTAACAAGTTTTCCATACCTCAGTTTTATACATTGGACATAAATTCTTTTTTTTTCCTGACGCATACCACGCTAAATGTAACCATTGTTGCCGATTCACAGATTTAGCATGTATGTCATCCATCCCGCTATACTTGTGTTGTTTCAGTTTTCGAGAGTTAAATTACTTGATCAACATCTTAAGATGAAATAGAAAAATTACGATTTATAATATATATTTTTTAAGTATCTACATACTTTACCATAGTTGCAAGTTGCAGCCCACTGCTGTGTCAGTATGTCATCCAAGAGAGGTGCCCAAATGGCTAATATATGAGAGGCCCTCTTTCTCCCTACCAAAAAAGATAACTTCATTATCCTCTCTTTTTTCTATCACAATTCATTTCACTCTCTTTCTCCAAATACTTCAATCCTCATTTTCAGGCAAAAGCTTCTTCCATGGCTTCAATTTCAGCAGCTTCTGCAACTGCTGCTGCTGCTTCTACAAAGATTAATACCAGTGGTGGTAGTGTTCTTCCTTCTAAATCCTCTAAGCTTATCCTTTCATCTTCTTTTACACCAACCCCATCAACCCTTTTTCTCCATTCACCAGCCACTACTACACCTTCTTCTTCTACCCGCCACCGCCGGTTTACTGTCCGAGCTGCGCGTGGTAAATTCGAAAGGAAGAAACCCCATGTCAATATTGGTACAATTGGCCATGTTGACCATGGGAAAACCACACTTACAGCTGCTTTGACCATGGCGCTTGCTTCTCTGGGTAACTCCACCCCCAAGAAGTATGATGAAATTGATGCTGCCCCTGAAGAAAGGGCTCGTGGTATTACGATTAATACTGCCACAGTGGAGTATGAAACTGAAAATCGGCATTACGCTCATGTGGATTGCCCTGGTCACGCTGATTATGTGAAGAATATGATTACTGGTGCTGCTCAAATGGATGGAGCTATACTTGTTGTTTCAGGTGCTGATGGTCCAATGCCGCAGACTAAGGAACATATTTTGCTTGCTAAGCAAGTGGGTGTCCCTAATATGGTTGTTTTCTTGAACAAAGAGGACCAAGTTGATGATGAGGAGTTGCTTGAGCTTGTTGAGTTGGAGGTAAGAGAGTTATTGTCAAGTTATGAGTTTCCTGGTGATGATATTCCTATTCATTGTGGGTCTGCCCTTTTGGCGTTGGAGGCTTTAATGGCTAATCCTAGTATTAAAAGGGGTGATGATCAATGGGTTGATAAGATTTATAAATTGATGGACTCTGTTGATGAATATATTCCTATTCCACAAAGACAAACTGAATTGCCTTTCTTGATGGCTATTGAAGATGTGTTTTCTATTACTGGTAGAGGTACAGTGGCTACAGGGAGAGTGGAGAGAGGGACTGTTAAGACAGGGGAAATTGTTGATATAGTTGGATTGAAGGACACTAGGAACACTACAGTAACAGGAGTTGAGATGTTTCAGAAGATATTGGATGAAGCAATGGCAGGAGATAATGTGGGGTTGTTGTTGAGAGGTATTCAAAAGATCGATATTCAAAGAGGAATGGTGTTGGCAAAACCTGGATCAATTACTCCACACACCAAGTTTGAAGCTTTGGTGTATGTGTTGAAAAAGGAAGAAGGTGGCAGGCATTCCCCTTTCTTTGCTGGTTATAGGCCACAGTTTTACATGAGAACAACTGATGTGACTGGAAAGGTTACTGCTATTATGACTGACAAGGGAGAGGAATCTAAGATGGTCATGCCTGGTGATCGCGTAAACATGGTGGTCGAGCTCATTATGCCAGTTGCTTGTGAGCAGGGAATGAGGTTCGCTATTAGGGAAGGAGGAAAGACTGTCGGAGCTGGTGTTATTCAGAAAATCTTAGAATGATGAACTTGCAGCTGAGCATCTCTTTTTACATATGGTCGGATTTTTCCATTGAAGTTTATTAATCCATTGTCATATATGCGACTTTTTGGTTACTTTTGTTATGTCTTAGAATCTTACTTTAGTTGAAGTATCCTGTTTAATCCCCCAATTCTACTGAACTTTTGGAATTTTCCCCGTCTCTTGTTTCACTTTTCATTTGCTTGAAAGAAATGATATCATTTGCTCTCATGCACTTTATTTTCCTCTAGATAGATGCACACTTTCTTTTGAAACAAAAGCCCAGATTGCTAATTTGAGATTCACTGCTTGGACCGTCTTTTTTCAACAAATTGATTGTTGATAGAAGAACACAAAAGAAAAAGTAATATGCTTTCTTAACCACTGTATTCTGTTGGATAACTACAAGTAAGACATCTGAACTTCTTTATGCCCGTGTAAGTGAAATATAGTATGAGAGACAGATTTGAATATATTTGCATTGCTTATAATCGATATTCAGAATCGTTTAGTTTAGCATCTTTGAGCAGAATACTGACAGTTGGTTCATCTTGGATTGGAAAAGGACTAACTGGCGTTAGAATACAAAAGCAGTGAAAAATATGTCGTATGTGATGTTGACTTGACATGATGTGGAATGTTGTTCTTCATTGACTAACACAAATATCTTAGATATCACATTACGATAGTCCCATAAACTTTTCTTTGGTATATTCAGAATTGAATGATCCATTTTCTCATCTTACAGGCTTGTTCATCCTATCATGCACTCGTTGACTTCAGCGGTTTTCTTTATTCTCGAGCTAATGTGGCATAGGTAGCCAACTGGTCGATTTTGATTTCTTTGGTTAGGAAGCATGTCGTCCTAAGCTAAGATTATTGAGAATATGTTTGATCTTTCTGGATTTGATGCTTTGAAACTGGTTTTACCTTTCTTCACAATTATTGGAGCTTTGTTTCAACCAGCAATGTGGTTTTAAATTGCTGGTTCATTCTCATGAAAAATGAAAAAAAGTTGCTATATAGATCATTATAAGTCAAGTTCTGTGCACTGTGAAGTGAGTTCACCTTTAACTGGACACTTTGTAATCCCCTTGTGCTGAATTAACCAAAGCAACACCGTTTGTATGTCACTAGTGAGTAGTGAATTGTGCATTTCTTTCAAGAGTATATCTGTCTATTCCTTGTGCTTGGCTAAGTAAAAGTTGGGATCCCTATCGGAAATGTTACTTTTAACGTGAGCTCATTGTCAGAGTGACATTTTAGTCATGACTGTCACCTGTTTTTCTCTAAACCTCAGAGCAGTTCTTTGCAATGACATTCGAGAATGTTATTGCAATGCTCCGATTAAAAGGGGGGAAAACAACCGGAATACATACAAGACCCTTATGCTCTGATTAGTTCGAATGTATCTGTAACCTTACTTATTATCCTTTTATTTACCTAGCTTGGATGGTATTAAGTTTACAATGAAATGATACTGCTTGAGTCAAATGACAGAGGAGAAAAAACGATCATTCTGTTTAATAGAAGTATTTGAGCAAAATTATATGTCAATGGGAGACCTTTTGTTACTAAATTGGCAAAGGATCACTGTTGTGAAGTGTTACTATGATTCTTTTCTCTATACTGTTCTTGGTGAACGTGTCTGATTTATTGTGTTTCTTCTTGTTATTCATACTTGTTACTGTTGTATAATAACAGCCAAGGAAATATGCATTATGCAATAAATAGAACTTCATTTAGCTTTTTGATGTATGGAACATGTGAAGTCACTGGTACTTCAATTAGGTTAACTGCCAATGATCATTGCCATAAACTCTCAACTCAAATCGACCACTTTAGTTACATTAGTCTACAGGCTTTATAGGCTTCAACGTTGTTGGCCAGTTATATCTTAAGTCTACACTGTAATGTTGTTTGCCAGTGATATCTTAAGCCTGAGTATGTATCACAAATCTGATAAATAGAGAAACCAACCTTGTGACTTATGGTGTGCACAGCATTTTACTAATCTACCTTTGGACTCAATCATCCTCTGATAATTGTTTAACAATCTTGTCTAGACATGATAGAAAAGAAGAAAACTAGCAAACAGTAACATATTGGTCGTCAAGAACAAATAAGATTGCATTAATATACTTGAAATTGTAACATTGATTTATAGATATTAGAAGTGTTTGAGATGTTTTCTGGTGTTACATGACATTTGCTAGTAATTTGGAACGATCATCGCTTGCATGATTCTATGAAGCAAAAATTGGTTGATTTTCTAAAAGATAGTTGAAGCAACCAGCTCTTGAAGAAATGCAGCTCTCTGCCTTTTCTCTTCAAAATCCTCTTCTAGTGCTGGATCATATACAGCTAACTTGCTGCTGCACAACACAACAGTAGATTTCTATCATCCTACGGTTAACTAGCACCGATTCTGTATATACTGACAGTATATAAGTTTTTATACATATAATTTTAACCTATTATAGCAGGTTACGTATTATGTATTCTAGTTTACCAATTAATGCTTATTAGGAGCCACCATTATAGTTACAAGTTCGGTACAACCCAATAGTTTTGGCTCATACATTCATTTAAAATGTATGAACAGTCTATCCATAACCCAGTGAGAAAAACAGATCGTGTTTCAACCCATGAACTAAAATTTCCTCTACAAGGATCAGCTAAACAATTCAAACTCGAGATTATCAGGTCTGTTACTCTGTTAGACACCTAATATTGTTAACATATTGAAATTTTTGAAGCAGAATTATGTTCTATTATAAACATCCTCCGAGTTTCATGGCCAACTCCTAGGTCGTCCATTGCTGCAACAATAGACTCATCCCTGATATGTACTGATGAATAAACAGTTTATCTATATGATCTACGATAAATTTCACTCCTTCAACGTCGTAACACATTCTAACGGTTTAGTCAATTTATCATATCTTCAGCTTTACCACATGTTCAGTATGGTAACAACTTGTATTGCACCAGTTCCCTCAAGACCTTCAAGACATGTGTGGAAGCCCGAGTTCTTTAGATAACCGATTACTGAAAGCAACACATACACCACATAAAGTGTTGATGAATAGATTCTAAATAGGATAGGTGGATGTAGCCTCTTAACTATGGGTTCATCTGAACTCATAATTTTAATAGTACAATAAGTTCAGTGCTAAGAATATTGAAGATTGAATCTATAACTTTAAATCCTGAATCTGCCTCTAAACGTTGGTAGGTTTTGGGTTGGAAATTGGTGAAACTACACTCTAGGTGGACACTTTTTGCTGGTTATATTGACAACGGAAGGACAATTACAGAAAGGTACAAACTTAATTACTCATGCTTAACTTTCAGATTTAGCATTTAGTTCAGTTTGTTTTATCAGAAAATTTCACGAAAACAAAGAGAACGTATGAATAAAATTACCTTTCTATTTCAGGAGTAGCAGTGTCACAAACAGAGGACTTATCTTGCTGCCTGCATTTCAGATCAGAAGGAGCAAAATTGCAGAGAAATGGCAATAAAAGTGGATCAGGAGCCAATTCTTGAACCTTATATCGACCAAATGCTGAATCTGTGCCAAAAAATGAAGCCATTTCTCGAGGATCCTTTCCGATCATAGCTGCAGCATTATTCCAGAAGCCAGGCTTTAGGTAATTTCTCCTCCTCTGTAGAAGGAGTAGGCGTGTGAGGTTCAGCTGATTAATATTTTTGAAGCGGAAAATATGTCTACCTTTACTGAGTGTGCATGTTGCACAGAAAAATGTCCGGTAGGATCTTTCCCTAAAGTTGCAGCACATATGGGACAGACCTGTAATAGAAACGTCGAGTTAGATTGATCAACTCATACAATTCTTTAGTACAAATACATATGACATGAGAACGAAAAGATTGAAAAGTTTCCAGTATATCAGTGTAGTCATATACACTTCATCTTTGCATATAACATAAACAACAAATGAAACAAGAATGTGATATAAGGAAGCATCATGAGTGGGACATTACCGCGTTTTTTAAGTCAAAACAATGCTCGTGTTGCAAGTGGCTGCAAAGCATTGGCACTTCAATTTCGACATAACAGAAAGGGCAAGGGAACCAAGCTCTAACATCTTCTTCTGCTTCATTCAAGAAAGAATCTGTTTGATTTCCAAAACGAACAAACATAAGGTTTCATTTAGGTGTGTTCTCTTTCTTTTTTTGTCCAAAAAAAAGTCTGATGACAAGAAATATGATCACATCTTTATGTGTTCCAGGTAGTAGAAAATACAACTTTCTGATTCTGAATAAATTATTTATACATATTAAGTGAATTTTTATCGCAAATACAGAATTTTGGGCCAAAACTACTAGGTTCTACCTTTTGTCCCTGGATAATGTCCTAGTGTTTCACTTGTAGATTTCAAAACTCTAGGACAATGGCTATTTTCCGAGGACAATACTGAAAAGTGACCAGTCAGCGCTATTTCTACTACAAAATTAATCCATGAAAAAATGATCCAAATCATTTATTGATTCAGCCCATTTGACCTGCCCAAATTCAGCCCAACACGATCATTTGACACGACTACACAAATCTATCAATCTTAGATTGAATTTCTTGTCCAACTGATAAACCAAATGAAATACTAGTTAAATAGGTAACTGCATAAAACTGGAAGAAACACAATACTGAAAATTGAAACTCATAACAGCATCCAAGAAAGTAAACAATTAAAAGATCTATGTTGCTCAGACTCTTCAAAAATATATTCAAGTGAGTGTCGGATCCTCCAAAAGTAATGCAGTTTTGAAGAATCCAACACACAAGTGCAACAACATTTTTGATGAATCCGACCAACAATAGCCTGAGAAAGGAAGGAACTAGAGTAGATAAAATTACCAATTAATGGAAAAGCCATGGCCAAAATTATCAATATCTATGTCAACACAAAAGCTTCATTCACCATTTAAAACTCCCCTGAGACAGAGACTTAAAATGCCTACCACAAAATTTAATTTAATTTATAAAAAAATTGAAAAAAAAAAAGATGAAGAAAAAGAAGCAGAAACAGTGCAAGAACAGTTAGACTAGACAAATGCATGTGCTGCAATTGATATTTACCAGAATTGCTTAAATTGGTACATTGAAAGGTAGACAGATTATTGGCTGAGTTTTCTCTTGTAGTCCAAAAATCCACATCCATCTTCCAATTATTTTTTTTGGACAAGGAAATAACAATTTGGTTTTTTTATTTAGAGTAAATACCTAAACTCATAAAAACAAAATATTGAGAGTGTGGTTTTTATAACAAGAGAATCAAAGAAAGTAGTGAGTGGTTGGTGATGATGTTTCATTCTAGCTTCTGCGTTAAATGGACATTTGATCATGTTTCATTATAAAAAATTTAAAAATAGTTTTTGTTTTCAAAAGTAAAGAATAGTTTTTCGAAAATTGAAGTTATATTTAGTCACGAATAAAAATTAAAATTATTTTAACTTTTTATAAGCAATATATTCTTTAGGAAAAAAAATCAAAAAATTTCATCATCAAACGCGTTGTTACTTTATTTAAGTTTGATGGGATGTTGTGTTGTACTCATTTGTATTTTAGTGGGTAGAAAGTTTTATTTATACTAGTATAAGAAATATATTGTGGAAAGCTTTTCTTACACACAAAAGTTGGATAATAGAGCTATTGACATGTGACCCTTTGCAAATGGTAAAATAGACTTACTTCTTTTCACTGACAAATTCCTTCACCAATGACACTTTCCTCTCCAATTAAGTCAAGTATTTTATTATTTTCTCCATTTCAATTCATGTGGTTAGATTTTCCTAATCTATAAAATAGGAAAAAGCTGGTCAGCAATTATTCATCAACCTAACATTCTTTTTTTTTTCCGCCCAAAGTTGGGTATTCATATTGGAGCCGGATTACATTCAATTTTTTTTGTTTTTCCCAATATCCGATATCCATATTAGAGTTCAACTAAATTTTGGATTCACGCTGGGAGGTAAAATGCTCCTTAACAAAGGCAACCCACATTGAAGGTAATGCGCCTCTTAAATAAGACAACTCTATATCCAGAGTGACTCGAACCCCATTAGAGGTAAAACACTCCTTAACAAAGGTGACTCGTACCCAAAAAAACTCGAATCGAAACCTCTGATTAAGAATGGAGGAGTATTTATCATTCCATTACAACCTTAGTTGATAACCTACTAATATTCTTTCTTGCAAGTTGCTTTGTGGGTTCATATTTTAGAGCAACTTAATAATATGGTACCAAAGTGCAATCAGCACTTTGGTACTATAAAAATGGACAAAGCAAACGTGTTACAATATTTGCTTTACTGTGTATATTGTTTATTAACATGATTTAACGGATTCAACTCAAAATAATCCATCAAACTAGTATTAAAAAGGATCAAAACAGTGTAATCCAATGAATCAAAATGCCAAGAATATAAAATTGAATTCGACGCTCACAATCAGAACGTCAAGCCATCAAGATTCAAGAGCTTGAAGCTATGAGCACGGTGTACCACAGTACCAGGAAAATTTTGGGTGCATGCAAAAACTTTGGGAGCCATCGTTATCATAAAACATTGCAAGTTCAGTACGACGCTTAAGAAGTTTCAGTGCATCTATCAACTGTGCAAAACCACATAAGGGCACAAAGTCAACAAAACATCCAAGTTTCAGTGCATCTATCAATTGTGCAAAACCACATAAGGACACAGTCACCAAAACATCCAATTCAGTCTAGCAAGTTATTTATAGCATAGTCTACTGAAAGCATAATATATTGCAAGAACTACTGCTAACTAGATCCTAATTCTCTCCAGCAATAAGATCCATCACAACACGCTTAATGCTGCCATTGTTCTTCTTGAGCAACTCCTTGTTCATCTCTTTGTTGTGGAAACCCTGCAGAGACGAAATATAAAATGGTCAAAAGCTAGAAGTCGTTGCTTTGCTCAACATGCAGAAAAGGAAGGTATAAATGTCAAACACTAACTACACTAATTTTAATGACCATGACAGTAACCTACCATCTCCTCCAGCTCTTCAAGCATAGGATCCCACTCAGAAACACCACAAAGATCAGCTACTGCTTGTTCCAAGTTATACTCGTTCATCCTCAAGACTTCTTTGTTTAAGTTAACCTGAGTGAAACCCATGTCCTCCAGTTCCTTGAGGAGGGCCATCTCGACATCTTCCTGTGAAGATGCTTGCACCTCTACAACAGATGGTGGTGCAACAGAAGTAACTGCTGGTGCTGCCTTGGATAAATAAATGGGGTATGAAATTGACGAACCAGCTGCAGAAGGAGAAATGCACGACTTGGATTCCTCATTGTTACGGTTTCCATCAACCACCGGTTCAACTGATTCCATGGCAGGGTTTGAGATTTTAGGGTCAGCAATGATATCCTCTATTGTCATGTCTGCATTCACATTAATAGATTCAGAACCAGCTATATCATAGCCGGCTGGAGGAAGATTCAAGTCCAGGACCTGAGAGGCTTCATAAAAGAACTCCTTTTTCGGGATCATTGAAAAATCAACCTGCAAAAATGAGTTACAAATATTCAAATCGGCATCGAAGCTAGCTCTTATTATCAAGACAAGAAATAATGTTGCATGCGAACAATCCTGACCTGGATAAGCACCCATACACGTTGCCCAAACTTCTCGCCTGAAGGCAAGGCCATCCTCCAGTAGGAGATGTACCTGCCAGGAAGCTTAGGAGCTGTAAAATCAACTGCCACATCAAGTTCATGGTCTACAGCCAAGCCAAACGAAGAAATCTGCAGATAGGGACAATGTATCATCGCATCACAGGACCGGAGGCATGGATGTTCACCAAAAAAAAAAAAGCACATGCGCATAAACTCTGACCTGTAATTCAACAGAGACTGCATCACCTAATCGATCTCCCCCAATCCAAACAAGTTGTGTTCCTTGTGGCCAGACAATATTACCATTGTTCTTCATCCTCCAGACCTTGGTAAATGGAGTCGATGGAGCCATCATAGTACCATCAAGTACATTGACATCCTGTTTGAAGCGGCTGTCCAGCTTAGGCGATTTTACACCGCAGCCTTGAAAGATGTCACGCTACATACAGAAAAAGTTGACAGAGTTAATCAACACAAAGAGAGTACTTACAGAAAATTGAAAGAAAAAAAGTAACTCCTTATACAGGTTCATGTAAAGCCTTGAAAGCTATGGGATGATGGTAAGAAACAGGACGATCCATTCTAATGTAATCAGCATCAATTCCCATTCGTGCAAAGCATATGCTGCAGAGATCATAGTCCTCCTTTCTGCATGAGAATATGAGGATCAGTCCTTAACATTGATTAGTCAAATACCAATTATACAAAAGGTTCACGTTTCTTACACTTTAGATTTGAACCTAGGTCCAGTTATTGGATGAACCCCACAACCATCACAGCGAACACCTCTGTGGAAAATAGAGACTGTCCCATCACTGTGATTATGGCTCCTTTTAACTGGAATCTGGAAAGGAGAGTATTGAGGTTGGATAGTGTCATTTAACTCGGGCACCATAGTCATGAAATATGAACTTGGAGATCTAAATCCACCAGAAAGCTTCCCAGATAAACCAACAACACCAACAGGCTCAGCACCAGGGTGATTCTCAGTTTGCTGTTTATCAGCTGTCTTTTTTGGGCCAGTGGTTGAGGCACTAGGATATGAATTACCAAGAGCCTTCCCAACAAGATGGGAATCACCAAATTTGTTACCCTCTTCCTTCTTACCGTCTACCAGAGATGAGTTACGGTTAGGACTTTTTGATAATGGTTCACACTGAATTCCGTTTTGATCTGATTGGGAAGACTTCAATTCTGATGCATTTATGGATACAGTATGACTTTTGGGTTGTCCTGCAGTTTTAACAGTCAGCTCCTCAGGATTCGCTGCTTGAGATGGCTCTCCACTTCTAACACTACCCATAGGGACTCCGGATACTGGACAAGCCTGCTTTAAGTAGGATAAGCCAGTCATAGAGAGAGCTTTGGAAAGCTCAGCAATTTCTCGGGCAGCTGATGAGGCTTTAGACGCCATATCTGCAGAGTGCTTTAGGATTTTTTTGCTTTTTGATTTCGGCAATGACTTGAGAAGATCAGAAACACTCGAATTTATGTTCGGAAATGTAGGTGGGGCCCTGACGGAAGTAGAATTTTCACTAGATGTACCTGAAGATCTACTAAGTTTTTCAGTGTTCACAGATATTCGCAGGGGATCCAGGTCCTGCCTCGTGATATCCTGCAGATCTTCGTCATCAACAAGTGTTACAACATCACCATCCTCATCAATGTATGTCAGTGTAAGTTCACTGTCGGGAGGAAAGTTGAAAAGTTTAAAGATCTTGTCTTTTAATTCATCTATGTTAAGACCAAGTTTATCATCAGCAACACGGGCATTGAATCGTCTAAGTGTCTCTCCATACTTGACCTACACAGTATACAGGAGCAGCAGAAATCCCATTAGTACAGACAAAATCATCCATCAGAGGGTACATAAGTTAGTCCCAACATATATCCATGGTCATAAGAAAATTAACCAAAATAACAAACGGAAACTTTACTGGCTTAACAGATAATTCTTTTCAAGAGTCGATGAGTTTATGTTATCATGGAAACAGAAAACTGCATATTGACAAGATTGCATAGCAGATAGCACATGGAACGCCCCCAAGGCATACGAGGATCATAAGAAAGTTAAGATTATCTGGCGAGAAAACACATCAGAGCAATTATAACAATCAAGTAATCAAGTATGCCCCAATCAGCTCACAAATCCCTTACTCCTAGGGTGTGTTCAGTATGGAGAAAAATAAGTTGCTTAGACATGAGGAAAATACTTCCTGTTAAGGGCAAACAAATTCTAAAAGTGGAATTCCACAAAACACACACCTTATCTTTCCAAAAAAAAAACTTATTACTGGAACATGAAAACATACATGATTTTCAAATAGAAGGGAAAAAAATCCACAAACCAGAACTAGGAAGCATCTATAGTTTAAATTAGATCACATCGCAAACTCTGCTATTGTACATCTTGCAGTAAAGACAACATCTTTACAGTGTAAAACATTTGCTTGATTTTGTTATTACCCCATCTCAACACCAATTAAGCAAAAGAAAAATAAACACCCAATTCTTACATGCATGATGATTAACAAAGCTAGCTAGATACGTTGTCGGTGCTATCCTTACAAATTTATTTCGCAATTCGATCATATCTCAGAGTACGAAAACAAGAAAATCCATCAAACCACAATATTATTCAACATTACAAGTAGAAGGGGAAAAAATTCCACAAACCAAAACACT